ACCAAGACTAGAGCAACTTGACGAAGGAAGTTTATTTTGGTTTATGGTTCCGGGGGCTAGATGTCCATAATGGCAGGGAAGGATGGGTGGCAGGAGTGAGGAACAGAGTGAGCTGGAAGTCGGGTGAGGCTATAAATTCTCAAAGCCCACCTCCTGTGTCTCTATGTCCTACAAGTTCCATAGCCTCCCCAAACAGCACCACTAACTAGCGACCAAGTGTTCAATTACATGAGCCTGTGGGGGACATTTCTCATTCAAACCACCATAGTCAGTATGTCAGACATTGTGCAAACAGTGCTCTTAGCCCATGGACTCCTCAGTCAGTCCTCTGAGGTAGCTGCTATTATCATCCCGTATTACAGATGAAGAAACCAGCAAGCTTAAGCTGGTAAAGTCTTAAGCCAAATTGCTCAGCCAGGATCTGGACCAAGGCAGTTGAGCCCAGCCTAAGCTGTTTAGCTTCTCACTTGGGTCTGGAATATTCTCATTACACCAATATTATTGATCTGGCCTTTTTCTGGGGGAGCTTGTGTGAAAGAGTCTCTATGAGACCTGCCTAATCCCCCAGCAAGAATTAAGAAAGAAAAATGTGGATTTGTAAAAGGCAGTTTTCTTGGACTTCAGTGTTGAATCACGTGTTCAGAGTAACAACCCTCCCTTCCCCAAAGTCAAGACTCATCAGTCCCGCACCAAGTTCAGAAATGGATTTCCAAGTTCTTCTTTACCTTTTAGGGAACAGTAGGAAGGATCCAGAGCAGAAATCAGCCCAGAGTGGAGTGTCAGTTCCTGACAAAACTGAGCATAGATAGGAATATTCGTAAAGAAAGATGGTGGTGGCTCAGCAGTTAAGAGCACTGACTGCTCTTACAGAAGACCTGGCCTCGATTCCCAGCACCCACATGGCAGCTATGAACCGTCCTTAACTCCAGTTCCACGGGAATCTGAAGCCCTCTTCTGACCTCCGCAGCATTGCACAACATGGGTGTACTCACATACATGCAGGCAATACACTCATACACATAAAATAAAAATAAAATTTTTTTAAAAGGTAGGTGGGTGAGGTGGCTCAGTGGGTAAAGGTGCTTGCCACCAAGTCTTATAAACCTGAGTTTGATCCATATGGTAGAAAGAAAGGACTGCACGTTGTCCTGTGGCTTCCACACATGGGCCATGACACACGTGCAATCTCTCTCTCTCTCTCTCTCTCTCTCTCACTCACTCACTCACTCACTTTTTTTTTTAAGTGGAAAGATCTTGGATGAATCAAATGATAAGGAGATTTTATCAGGAAGCTTGTACTAACATGGCCAGTCATAGGTTGAATGTTTAGGGTGTGTGAGATTCGTTAAATTATTTCAGATCATTTTCATTTTGAATTTATATAAACTACAAGTTAAGTGATTAAGAACCCAGATGGATCAACAAATCTACAAAAATCTATATTTATGGTATAAGCTATACCTCTTTATAATTAGCCAGTAATTTATAGTTTGCAAGAGGAAGAAAGGTTCAAAACTCATCCATGATAACACCAAAAGCCCCTTGAAATTTTATTTCCTCCTTCCTGTGCCTTACCTTTGTGATCTTGGGCAGGTTTCTTCATGGGATCCCAATCTGTGAAATGGGATGCTGAGATCTGCTTCTCCAGGCTGCTGGGAGGACTCGGGGAACACACAGTACATTTGGCATGTGATGAGCAGGTAGTAGAAATGAGAGCTTCTTGAGGAGACAAGCTGATTCTATTAGGAAGACCTGTACAGGAGCAGGAGCAGCACTTGAGCAGAGTCGGAGTTACGTTTCAGGGATAAGGACCCTGACTCCCCAGGAGTTATACTTCAGGGATAAGGACCTCCCACTCCCCAGAGTTATGCTTCAGGGATAAGGACCTCCCACTCCCCCAGAGTTATGCTTCAAGGATAAGGAACCTGACCACTCTGGAGTTATGTTTCTGGGAAAAGGGACCCCGACTCCCCTGTCTCCCTCATTGACATTTCCTAGGAACTTGCAAGGACTGCAAATGAAAAAAATGTGCAAAGGAAACCAGCCTGAGGTTCCCCTGCTGCAGCCGGACCTCTGTCCTGTGGTCAGGAAAGGGGAGGCCGGGCATACAGTCCAGCACCTATGTAGGGTCTTGGAGTGTCCATGCCAGGAATAGGGTGACAAGATGAAACTGCATAAATATCATGGCTGATTTCTATTACATTATTTAATATGAAAAGACCCCCTTGGAGGTGCCACAATGGTAATTACAGTATTCTCAGAAAAAAATGACATAGTACAAAATTGGAGAATTTGTGGTGTATACAATATTTTAAGTTATAAAGGCAGCCTTTTATTATATGGAAATCTGAAAAATACAGAAAAACACAAAGGAAAAATAAAGGCACTCACAATCGCACTGTTCTATTGTGACCACTGTTCACGTGCTAGAAATAGCTTTCCTAACCCCTGCACTTTTACGTTTTTACGGTTGTGATTATCCTGTAAAAATTGTGCTTTCATTTGCTTTTTTATATAAAATAGCACGCTATTACAAACATTTTTATAACAAATATGTTTATAGGATTACTTTTAATGTCTATGATATTCCACAATATTTTTATTTAGTTGTCCCTCCCCCCATTATCAAATCTAAGTTCCCCAAATTTGATTGTTATCAAAATGCAGGTATCAGTGTCTAGGGAAGAGGGAGGATTGGCTTCAAGGCTTCCAGGGATACAGAATCTGTGGGTGTTCATGCACCTTTTATGAAATGGTGCAGTATTTCTAAAACCCTACATACATCCTTCCAAATACTTTAATCTCTAGGTCACTTATAGCTTATAGAGTACAAGCGCTATGCAGGTAGTTACTAACTGTAGGTAATGAATGTGACGTATAGTCTATATAATACAGACACAACTTTTCCCAGGTATTTCCAGTCTGCAGCTGGTTGAATACACAGAGGTGGATACAGAGGGCTGACTGTATCATGACCAAGCTTGGTACCCAGACTCCACCTTAAATTTATAGAAGTGGATGGCAGTGTCTCAGACAAATTGTGCTGCTGGGATTATGGAGAATGGAGGGACTCAGAGGTGGCTTACCAGGCCAGGGTCTCAACAAGGGGCTTTCCAGGTTCAGAGCTAGCTCCTTTCCCCTAATGGGCTGAAGAGACCCCCTGCTGAGTGAGATTTTTCTGTTACCTGTAATGAATGTGCCTACATCTGATGACCAACAACAAATGTGCCTATTAACTGACAGATTGGCACTGACATGGGATAGGTAGCAGGGACTTTAAGAACTACCTACATTTCCATACTTTTTTAAAATCAGAGGTTCAGAGCTAGCTCCTTTCCCCTAATGGGCTGAAGAGACCCCCTGCTGAGTGAGATTTTTCTGTTACCTGTAATGAATGTGCCTACATCTGATGACCAACAACAAATGTGCCTATTAACTGACAGATTGGCACTGACATGGGATAGGTAGCAGGGACTTTAAGAACTACCTACATTTCCATACTTTTTTAAAATCAGAATTTTAAGCCAGGTGTGGTGGCACATGCCTTTAATCCCAGCACTTGGGAGGCAGAGGCAGGCAGATCTTTGTGAGTTCGAGGCCAGCCTGGTCTAATAAATAAATAAATAAATAAATAAATAAATAAATAAATAAATAAAATGAGAATTTTAGTATATGTAATATTGAAACAGTACGCTGTCTGGAGGGTGCTAAAGATGGTAATCTGGTTTTGCATATGCTAGGCAAGCACGCTATACTGAACTCTACATGCTCAGCCTAGAAACACAGTACTTTCTTTATCTAAATATAGGACATTAGAGTTTCAAAGAATTATATAGGCTTCTGAACATGTATTTTCTTCAGTAGTCTAAAAAGAACTGAATGTATGTAAGAACTCTGGCAGAAGTGCTGACGACATGCCAGAGAAAAGATCAAAAACCATGAGATGAATTTCTGCAATGCCACAGATGAGCATGGGGCATATTAGGGAAGAGCTGCTGGAAATGAGCAGAATGCCTTAGACTGATAAGGAGAAGTGCTAGACAGGAGTTGTCAACAAGTTGACAACAGCTGCAGAAACGTGTCTGAAAAACTGCCTCTGCCAGGAACCCACACTGCCTTACTACTTTCCTCAGCCCTCACACCTTTTGTCTGACCAAACACACCTTTTGGAGGCAAAATAATAAGAAAGATTCCTGTAACTCTCATCTTTTCAATAACCATCATCAAATCCTAGGCACAGCCTTGAGTCTGACCAGTGAGCCACTAGGTGTTATCTGAGAAAACATTGTCATTTGGGTTGACAAAGAAATCATAAATAAATTTATAAAATGCTCCAGTGTCTTAAGATCTTTGAGAACCTTGTATGTGAGGAGGATATTTAGACTTTTGGCTGCCAGTCACAGGGCACCTGTGCTGTGTCTTTGCTATTTTCATAAATGTCAGTAAAAACATGAGTAGCCAGCAGCTGCTGTCTCTCCATTTCCAAGACCCAGAACCTGATAGCTATTTCTGTAGCTTTCGTGATGGTGGTGGTTTTAATTTGTGACCTATGATAGTAGATCCTGATTGTGGCGAATTATTATGCAGTGGTGATTATCAGTAAGCACATTAGTAGTGGTGCCTCATGTGGCACAGGTACATTCCTAAGTCAGTGTTCTGTCCATGTCATCTCGATCTTCACCGTAATCCTTTTGGTATAAGGGTTCCCACACTGCACATTAAGAAACAGGCCAGAGGGAAGGGTAACTGCTTTTGTCAGACAATGGGCCCATCACATGTGACTGCAGTTCAGTCTGACTCAAAGGACATTTCCCTTCCCCTTTTATCTGGTTTGGACAGAACTGAGAGAACAGGTAGAAAAAACAGCTCTCTGCCATCTTTTATAGTTGCACCCTCTAGACAGGTGTTAACATCAGCTCTCCCCAGTATGTGGTAATTTCTGAGTGTTACATTCACCATTTCAGACTTCCTCCCCTCCTCCTGCCCCTTTGATCTTCCAGGCCCTCAATACCGCCTGGAGAAGCAGAGCGAGCCCAACGTCGCTGTGGACTTGGAGAGCACGCTGGAGAGCCAGAACGCGTGGGAGTTCTGCCTGGTCCGCGAGAACAGTATGTTGGCTGACTCGCTCCATGCCCTCTTTGTTGCAAACATGCTTAGAAGCGATGTGTTTGGGAACACTTGCTGGCCTAGCTCCCCTAAGCAGATTGAAAGTGACCATTTTCCAAAACAGACCACAGCCTTCGTGTTAGACGCGTGTCCCACAGCAGAGTGACAGTCCATGCTGTTGCTAATCTGCATCCTCTTTAGCTCCGTGATTAATATTTTGCTGTTGAACTCCATCGCCCTAATTTTTGAACGGCCCTGGAAACAGAAACAAGAGGCCCTTTCTCAGCAAAGGCTCCTGTGTATACACAGCAACTGGCCCTGTCATTATCAACTGTTCAACATCAAGTTTTAGAAAATTTTAGCCACTTGAATATTCTTAGCAGAAGGCAGTGTAGTGATTCCAAGTGGCACATTGAGAGCTTCTTTAAAACTTCAGTGAATTCCTTTCTTTGCCTCTTTGGTTTCTGAGTTGTGAAGCTCTGCTATCCCTCTGCTCTGTGCTCCCCTGGTGTAAGGGTCATTCCTGGTCCATCCAGGGCTATTTCTTCTGCCTGAAGTGCTCTTAACCTTTTTCTCATGAGCTCTTCCTCAGTCTTGGCCCAGTTTAAATGTTACCTCTCCAGAGGCAATGCCTTACCACATCACTTAAACTTCATCCATTCCTCATTTGGGCCCTCAGTATACTGTCCCAGAGCATACTGCTTTTTCTTCATGGCATTTATTTCTATTGTTTATTTTTCTCAATGCCTGACTGGTGTCTGCCTCCCCCACTAGATTATAGGTCTGCAAGGGGATTTCTGACCGACACCAGTTGGCTTGTCATTAACCCAGCAGTCTGCTAAAGACCATATACTGGGGGCTGGAGAGATGGCTCAGCAGATAAGAACACTGGTTGTTCTTGCAGAGGACCCAGGTTCAGTTCCCAGCACCCACATGGCAGCTAACAACTGTCCAAAACTCCAGTTCCAGGGGATTTGATGGCCTCTTCTATCCTCCATGGGCATTGCACAACATGGGTGCACTTACCTACATGCAGGTAATACATGCATACACATAAAATTTAAAAATATAATAATACATGAAAAAAATTTTTTTAAAAGAAAAAGACCACATACTGAAGGAATTCAGGACAAGTAGACTGAATGAAGGAGGAATAGATCTTTAGTCTTGTCACTGACTAAGCCAGACCAGACTGCCACCCTTTGACCAAAACCCCTGGCACCTCTTCTGGAACAGCCTGCACAGTCACTAGGAAGGGAGATGTACTCTTGGCACTCAGCAGCAAACTCTCAAAGGTGAAAGATTGCCAGCCTTACTGTCTGCAACCAGCTGTCAGAATCCTGTGTGAGAACATAGATTTAAAAATCATGATGCTCAAATGGTCTAAAAGCATTTTCGATAAGTAGTAAATGTCCATAAAAATGTTCATTTTTATCAAGAACCTAATATACAACTATTTGGAAGCAAAATATAATACTTTCCTTTTGCCAAATAAGCCAGGTGTTTTAAAAATAATCCTCATGGACTGAGTGTGGTGGTACATGTCTGTCATCCATGCACTTAGACCAAGGCAGGAGAATCAGGCGTTCAAGGTTACCCTCAGCTATATAGCAAGTTCAAGGCCAGCCTGGGATACATGAGATCCTATCTCAGAAATCAATCAATCCATCCTCATGGAAAGTTGGCGTCCTCAGACATAGGTGACAATAGTGGAGTCTCACAGCAAAGCTGGATATAACAAGAGACCTGAAAAGATTGTAACCAAGATTTCTTCTTAGGGAAATCTATCCTGAGAAAAGATCGAAAATGCAGCAGCAATTTATGTAGACTCATGGTTTTCATAGTATTGTCTATTTTCCAATGGAAATAGTCGTAGCTTTGGGTATGTTGCTGTATGGAGAACCAAGGCAGAATTTCATGGGATGTACTTTCTGATAACAGTGAAATTAGGCTCGAAATCAGGAAGAAGGCGAGAAAACCTGAGTGCATTTGGAAATTGAGAAGCAAGCTTCTGAACCTACCGGTTAAAAAAATAATAGTGGAGGTACTGGAGAGATGGCTCAGCAGTTAAGATCACTGGCTGCTCTTGCAGAGGACCCAGGTTTGATTCCCAGCACCCATGTGGCAGCTAATAACTGTCTGTAACTCCAGTTCCAGGAGATCTGACGCCCTCTTATGACCTCTGTGGGCACTGCACAACATTGGTGTATCTACATACATGCAGGCAATACATTCATACATATAAAAATAAAAATAATAGTTATATGAGGATGAATAACTCTGAGGAGAGAGAAAATAAAAAAATGAAAATAATAAATAAAATGTTAATCATAGTGGAAATTAGAAAACATTTTGTTGGAAGAATAATGAAAATTCTGTATATTAAAATTTGAGCCAGGTGTGGTGGCAGGCACCTTTAATCCCAGCACTCTGGAGGCAGAGGCAGGAAGATCTCTATGAGATCAAGGCCAGCTGAGGCTACAGAGAAACCCTGTCTTTTTTTTTTTAACGTGTATGCGTGTATTGCCTGCATGTAGGTAAGTGCACCTGTGTCATGCAAGGCCCGCAGAGGTCAGAAGAGGCTGTTGGATCCCCTAGGATTGGAGTTAAGTGCAGTCACCACCAGTGACAGCCACTCCTCCTTTCTCGTGGGTGCCGCTCCTTTGTTCTCACGGGTGTCAAGGCTGCTCCTCCGCTCGCCCTGGGCTGAGGCCGCTCTTCTGCCTGCCCTGGGCTGAGGCTGCTCTTCTGCTCGCCTGGTGCTGCCTCCTGTCATCGCTGCTTCTGCCCAGTCCCGGACCCCAGGGCTGATGAGGAGACTGTGTCAGTGGAGCCGCATTCAGGCACAGGAGACCAGGTTCAGCGACACAGGTCTGCTTTATTGCAGGAAGGCACAAGCTTATGTAGGGGTAGTGGTCCAATCACAGCACAGCAAGTAGGATACCTTATTAGCATAACAGACTTAATGGCCTATCACAGAATAGCAGGTAGAATGCCTCATTAGCATACTGGGTTTCAAATTACAGAGTCTGGATTCCTAGAAACCATGTGACCCCAACTGTTGCAATATCTAAGTGTTGCAATTTTGGATTCCAAGGGTGGTGATTAGGGAGTGGCAAGCTCTAGGCATCGGTCTCATGATCTGCCAATGGGAGCAAATGTCACAAGGCATTCCTTGTGGCTCCAGTGGTCAGGCTCTTGCCTCAGGCCTGCTGTATGGCTGTCAATAAGACTTTCACCCTAGACTCAAGCCTGTCTCCCACAGTTAAGGACAATTGTTAGCTGCCATGTGGGTGCTGGGATTCAAACCCGGGTCTTCTGCAAGAACAACCAGTGTTCTTAACCACTGAACCATCTCTCCAACCCCGAGACCCTGTCTTTAAAAAGAAATTGAGGATATGACTCAAGTAGGAGCTTAAGGAAATTTTACAGCTTTCAAGTTTATTACAAAAGAAGAGAAGCTAGAAAGTAATAATCTAAGCATCAAAAAAAAATTTTTAGAAAATAACAGAAAAGAAAACCTAAGAGAATAAAAGGAGAGAAGGGCAATAAAGAGCAGAAATTAATGAACTAGAAAACTCAGAAACATTAAAAGGAAGAGTTGGTTCTGCAAAAATACGAATAAAATCCATAAACCTATTTTGGCATGGATCAAAGTCGAGAAAAAAAAATAACAGAGAAGTACAAACAGTAACAGGAGGGAGAAGGAGACACACTACAGACCCGATGATAATTAAACACATCACATAGGATTTGTGTGTATAGTGTATGTGTGTGTACATGTGCAAATGTGCTTACCCCTGCAGATGCATATGAAAGCCTTAGATTGACATCAAGTGTCTTCCCCAGTGACCTTCCATTACACTTTTTGAAACAGGGTTTCTCGCTGAACCTGGAGCTCTCTGTTTCAACTAGACTGACTGGTCAGCAAGTCCCAAGGATTCTTCTGTCTCTGCCTCCAGTGCCAAGGTTACTGGCTAGTGCCACCACACCTGGAGTTTTGCGTGGATGCTAAGGCTCCAAACTCAGGGGTTCATGCTTATACACTAAGCACTTCACCCCTTGAGCCAGCTCCCCAGTCCCCACAGGATTATTTTGAAAAACTCCATTCCACCTTTAATCCCAGCACTGGAGAGGCAAAGGCAGGCCAATCTCTGTGAGTTCAAGGACAGCTAGGGGTACAGGGAGACCCTGCCTTTAAAATAAAGTTATGGAGCTAGAGAGGTGGTTCAGTGGTTAAGAGCACTGGCTGCTCTTGCAGAAGACCCAAGTTCAATTCCCAGCACCCACATGGCAACTAACAAAGGTCCATAATTCCAGTTCCAGAGGATTCCAGCTCCCTCTTCTGACCTCTGTGGGCTTTACATAACACAGACGGGTACACTTACATACATGCAGACGATACACTCATACATGTAAAATAAAAATAATAAGCCGGGCATGGTGGTGCACGCCTTTAATCCCAAAACTCGGGAGGCAGAGGCAAGCGGATCTCTGTAAGTTCAAGGCCAGCCTGGTCTACATAGTGAGTTCCAGGACAGCTGGGGCTACAGGGAGACCCTGTCTCAAAAAGACCAAATAATAATAATAATAATAAATAAAATATTTTTAAGATAAAAAGTTGTGTTTAGCAAGTTTGGTATGAAGAGAGGTAACTGGTGTAATATTAAAGGGAGAAGTGATAGGAATATGCAGTGTCTCACAGAGACTAATCCCAGCTATATAAATAAACTGGCAAATAAAAAGTAAAGAAGGAAGACGTTAGTAGTTTTCCTTTTTTGTGTATACATTTGTGCTTTCCAGAATTTCTAAAAGAGAGTAAACAAGAAATAAGGGAAAATTCACATGGACAAAGATTGTGCAGTGACACATCCTAATGTAACACTTCTCATGACACTCGACCTGAAACCACTCCCAGAAGCACAGCTTGGAGCCAGAGGCAGAACTGTGCAGCACCCCACCCCCCACCCCCTCACTCTCTACTTCCTACCTGATCTCCACA